CAGCACAGCACCCCATGCTAGACTCAATCAGTAGTTTAGAAAAACATCACGCTTTGAATTTTAGCGGCTTTCCCCACCACCATGTGTAAATAAGCATATTTTTTATTTGGAAATGTAGAACTCCTATGCGTTCCTACAGAGTGTATTATAGTCCGAAGAAAAAAAACAGCACATAACACTCCATTCTAGTGTTGCATAGGCCATTTTAGAAAATACACCCCTAGAGTTCTCAGGGGGTGAGAGCAGACATCACTTTTCTATTGCTGTATTTTGAAAAGAAGAAAGGAAGAGAGTAGAAGGGGAGAAAAGGTAAGTACGTGGAAAGGTAGCTGGATAAACCAGCGGCACCCCAGCCTCAGCCCCACGCAAACCCAAACCCAGATCACGGGCCTTAGCGGCATTTTTAAGGAAGAAAAACATAGCCCATGCCCCCAAACCGCAAACGCACGTCCTGTCTCGCCCTGTTGTGTTTTTGGAATTTTGGAAGGAAGAGGAAGAGAAAGTACGTAAGTAAAAAGTGGGTAGATCAACCCCAGCTCAAGCCCAAGCCCAAGCGCCATACAGACCCAAATCCCACGTGCGAAACTCGGCAGGTAAGTTTCACAAGACTGTAATCCATATTCCCAAACTACAGACGGAGGTCATTAAAACCCCCTGTTGCGATTTTCGGATTTTTTAAGAGAAGAGTGAAAAGGGACAGGACCACGCCCATTGCCAGGTTCCAGATGTAATTTATTTCGGAAATACAGGGCACTCAGTAGATCTCTATGTAATAGGAATGAGAAGGGAGGAAGAAGGGGTAGTATATATTGCTAACCCACAGACGGATGTCATTCGCTTTGTCGATACGTTTTTGATTTTCAAAAGCAGGGAGGAAAACGGGGAAAGACAGGGACAGAGCAACCCCGTAATATGCCTCTCATTACATTTTAGAACAAAGAGTAGAGTTTGAAATGTAGAAAGAATGGGGACGGAGAGTGACTGTAGACACTTTTGTGCTAGGGAGCAGACGAGGAGCGTCATGGCTTCTTTTGTTCTTGTTTCCTATAGAGCGGTACAGGAATGCCTCCATATGTCTCGTATATCACCATTTTAGAGATTCCGGGAATGTAGTAGGTTTCTTTGTGATAAAGGAGAAGGGAGGAAGAGACGGGTAGATGCTCCCAACTCAGAGAGGAGAGGAGGGGCGTCATCAGCGTCATAGTTAAAATATTTTTAGAAAAAGAGTAAAGAGGCATTCACACTTCCATAAGATGCTGCGATTGCATTTTTGGTAAGCTCTATGGTGTGTTGGTGGGGTGACTTTGGTGGTAAAAGAGAATGAAGGGAGAGATAAGTAAGTATTTCTAACTAGAAAGGAGACGAAGGACGTTGCGCGTCTCTGTTTCACTGATTTTAGAAAAGGAGGAAAGAGGCAAGAACACTTCCATGGACTCGTTGTTCTTGCTTTTTAGTGAAATCTATCGTGTGTGGGCAAAGCAATTTTAAGAACGTAGTAATTTTATGTGACAAAGGAGAGAGAAAGAATAGAAAAGAGGAGGATAGAGTAGATCCAACCCGCAGATACAGAACAAGAGGCCATGTATCTTTAGCCGTGATTTTTTTTCAGTTTCAAAGATAGTAGAAAGAGAGAAGAACACTTCCGCATAAGCTCGATGCCGTAGTTTTTTGTAGTAAAGTCTCTAGCATGCCCGCGACTATGTTTTAGGAATTAACGAGATCAAAGGAGGTTTCAGTGTAGTAAGATATAAAGAAGAAGCGACAGGGTAGATGTTTTCAAACCTTTAGACACAGGACGCCATCTCGTGCTTTTTCGATAATTTTTAAGATTTTCAAACAATAGGAGAGAGGGGCAGGGAAACTTCCATAACGCAGTCGTGCGACTGTTTTAGGCAGAGCGGGAATAAAAAGAGAAGGAAGGGGAAGATAAAATCGCAGACGCAGCTCGAGAGGCCAGTGGACATGTGCTTCCAAGTTTTAAACGAATAGAAAGAAGAGGAGGTAGCACTTTCGTGTGCACATTATTCGGGATATTTTAGAAAACCACATACCCAGCTAGAATCCGGGTTTTAGCTAAAACAGTAAGTTTCTGTTTAGTATATAGAGAAGGAGGGAAGGATAAGAAGAAAGGAAGAAGTAGATATACCCGCAGACACAGAGCGCAATTACATAGATTACCAGCTTTTTCGAATTTTCGAACAACCACACGAGTCTCTAACGGTCCTCCATAAAAAGGCGGTATAATCATTTTTAGAAAACTCCATCGTTTTCGTCCATGTAGATTTTAAATAAAATAGTAAATTTATTGGAACAAGGTCCCTCTAGTAGTATGACTACTATGGATAACCGAGTGGGAGGAGGGACAAGGCGGGGTGGCTGCAACGTATTGTATTGACTATCGTGTCATGTGTCGTCCTCTCAGGCTGTTGTGGTGGATGCCATTGCCCACCGGGCAGTGCCTGCCACACCAGCACATCATGTGACCCCCAAGCACCTTCTACCTGGACTGAACCCAGATATTCTCAACAAAATTTCTGTAACTAATAAGAGAAGAAAGAAACAAGAGACAAAGTAGATATAACAAAGTCCTCAGACACAGACGCAGAACGCCATTGCCCAGACTGTAAGCTCTTTCGAGATTTCAAACAAGCCCGAAACTCTCCAGCGATCCTCCATGGATCAGCTATGTGCTTTGTTTGGAAAACCTCTATGGTTTGTCGATCGTTTTGTTTGGGAAATAGCTGGAATAAAGCAAGTTTTCATGTAGTTAATAGAAGATAAAACAAGGAAGAAGGAAGAGACAAGAAGATTTTCCTAAGTCCGCAGGCGCAGACGCAGACACAGAGCGCCATGAACTCATACTGTCAGCGTTCCGAATTTTCAAACAACTACACACCTCTCTATACCTCATCGGCGAGAGACTTTTAGAAAACTATATCAAGGTTTAATCAGCTAATTTTAGGAATGTAGTAAGTTTTTATATGATAGTAGAAAGAAAGAAGGAAGAGACAAGTAGATATACCCAGGCCCGCAGGCACAAACGCAGAGCGGCCAGTCATCCATGCACACTATCAAACTTTTCAAATTTCACATTAACTGCAGACCTCTCCAAACCCTCTCAATGCTTCATTTACCTAGTTATTTTGAAAACTCCATCAATGTATGATATGCAAAGTTCGGAACTACAGTAAGCTCCTGTAGCAAAAGGAGAAAGAAGGCATAAAGTCACTTGGTCCCTAATTTCAACCAGACACACAACGCCATCGAGTGGTTTAGCCAATGTTTTCCAAGGTTTTAAGTTTCAGAATAACCGCACACCCCTCCATCCTTCTTTAACAGGTTCATTTTGAAAACTCCGTCGAATGCCGATCAGACAATTTTAGGAATATAGTAAGCTCCTGTAGAAAAATGAGTAAGGAGGCATAGCGAATAAAGACACAGAGTACGTATTTTCAATCGTAGACACAAACACAGAACACCATGTGTTGATCAAGTAGGAATTTTCGGCTTTTCGGCTTTTAAAAAAGAGTAGAAAGAGACAGAGACAGCAACACCTCCATAGGAAAGAGTCTGAAGAGTTTTAGGAAACTCCATGTCAAGTTCGACGGATAATTTTAATAAATGCAGTAAGTTTCTATGGCAAAAGGAGGAGGAAGGAAAGAAGATATCAGGGTATCGCGCACCGATTTTAATCGCAGACACAAACGCAGAACACCATCGAGCATGGCGGTTATTCTTTTCAAACTTGTGGTTTTCCAAAGTTTTAGGTTTTTGAAAAGAGTAGAAAGGGATAGAGACAAGAACACCTCCATGATGAGTCAAGAATTTAATTTTTAGAAAACTCCATGGGAAGCAGGTGTTGATACGGCTAAGGTATCGGAATCACCTTCGTTGCAACGAGTTGAAATGATTGTGATTGTTCTTGTTGTTCTATGGAGGTGGAGGGAGGTCGGCAGTAAGGCAGCAGCTAGAGCTCGGACCACACGGCTTAGTCAGCCGTGTAATCCAAGCTCGTGCATGCAGCAACCAGCTGCCTTATCTACCGCAGGTTCGATTCCCAACAGCAGGCGTTGTAATTTTAGTAAATACAGTAAGATTTCTGTAGTAAAAGGAGTAATAAGAAAGAAAGAAGAAAGAAAAAAGGAGGAGACAAGTAGATATAGCCAAGCCCGCAGATGCAAAACGCCATACTCGAAATCTATTACGATTTTCAGGTTTCAAAGTTTTCAGACTTTTAGTTTTCCAAGTTTTTAGTTTTGTGAAAGAGTAGAAAGGGACAGAGACAGGAACACCTCCATCGCGGATGATGACATGTCATTTTTAGAAAACCCCACATTGTCTGGTAGACGTAGTTTTAGGAAATAGAAGAAAGCTTTATAGTAAAGGAAGAAAGAAGGAGGAAGGAAAGAAGGCATGTGTGTGCTGCCTCTGCATCTTTAACAGCAGACCGCAGACCGCAGACGCACAACGCCATGTCGCCACGCCATCACGATTTTCAAATTCCCAGCTCTCCAGATTTTATAACATGAGCGGGTGTTTAGAAACCTACATCCGAATAGCTGCTGTTCGTTTTCAATCAACCACACACACCTCCAACAGTCCTCCATGCGTCAAGCGCAATCTGATTTTTAGAACCCCCCATCACTTGTTCGTTTCTGCAGTTTCTATACCAACCGCACACCTCCACCAGCCCTCCATCCTCTGAAGCTTCACTAATTTCAGTCACCTCCATCGCTTTTTCCTCAGCAGTTTTTATTACAACCACAACCCCCTACCACCTCTCTCCATCGTCGGATACTATGCCACTTTTCAGAAAACCCCAAACATACCGTCATCTGTTCATTTTTTGTAAATAACAGGAACATAGTGAGTTTCTGCGGCATCGGTACTGGTTGGATAGTTTATGGTAGATATACCCCACCTCGCTCCCACAGAAAAGAACAGACTCAGCCAGGCATGTCTGTTATTTTCCATGGTTTTAGTTTCGGAAGAGGAGGGAAAGAGGCAGACGCAGACTCGGCCAGTCATTTGTACAACGTTGTCTCCTTTGGATTTTCAGCTCCCCAGGTTTTCAGAAAGATAGAAGAATAAAAGAGAGGAAAGACGCAGAAACACTCCCATGAGCTTCACCTCCACCCATCTTAACACACCTCCATGAATCACCATGACTCAAACTTTTAGACAACCCCAACACCACTCCGATTTTCTATAACAGAAGTAGAAAGAGAAGACGCAGTACCCCGTAATTTTCAGCCCAGCCCAGCCCACAGCCCGAGGGCAGCCATCGACCTTGGCATGGCGATTTTAGAAAAACAGGAAAAGACTGAAACTTCATCAGATTTCTTACTTTCGTTTTGGAAATAGAGGAAATACCACGATTTTTGTGTGATAAGAAGGAAGGAGAGAAGAGGGAGGAGGGGTTTTATATACACCGGCAGCCTCCCGTACTGGGTTTAGCGGTGGGGTTGTACGTGAGTATGTCCTTATGACGTTTATGTCTGAGTGAGGTGAGTGAGTGAGTGAAGTGAGTGAGTGAGTGAGTGAAGTGAGTGAGTGAGTGAGGTGAGTGAGTGAGTGAGTGAGGGAACCGCAAGATGCAAACACCGTCACACAGCTGCAAACACATCTGCAAACATGACTCTCCACATCATCACATCGATATAACTACATACAATGGTATACCCGCTTCGCATCGCTTCGTTCCGCATCGCTCAGCACATCCGCATCCTCCAACCCCCAACGACACAAACATAATCATTACCCTCATTTTCCCAAAGCCACAAACTACCCCCCATCATCAACGTCAACGTCAACATTATCATCAGCGTACAAGCACTCCAGCACACAAACACACGCACGATTACTTCGCCGCCGTGACCACACCTTCATACTCGCGACTAGCTATATAATCCAACGTGCGTTGAAAATGTTTCCTCGGGTTCTCCAGCGACGACGCGTTTTCATTGGATTGCAGGTTCGAGTGGATGAGCTCGATGAGGCCGTTTAGGTATTTGGTTGTGACCTGTAGGGTGTTTTATTAGAAAAGGGGTTGAGATGTGAGGGGAGGGCGGAAAGACTTACGGCATCGTTTTCTTGGTCAAAGTAGTAGACATATCTGTTTAAGATTTCGACAAAGAGTTCGACAGAAACTGCGGCGTCCATGCATGCGTCTGCAACACGGAGCGCGCGTTGTAAGCACTCGAGCACGCGTTTGCCGTCGCGGTAGAGCTGTGATTGTTAGTATGGCTTTCATGTATGTTATTGGGGTACTCACGTTCTTCGGGTCCTCCTCTCCCAACGCTCTGATTTCGGTTGCCCACCATAGATGGCTTGCGAGATACACAGCGCGACACTGATCTGGCTTCTTGAGCAGCTTACTTCCATGTAGCGCACACTTTGTAATCAACGTATCGTAGTTTTCCTTGCCGAAATTCCTCGTCGTGTGTAGTCCACTTGCGATAACGCACACGGCCTGGAACTGTGCTCTTGAGTCGCTGATCGCTTCTTCGTATATCGTGAATGCCTGCGCGAAGAATTCGTACGCAACTTCTTCGAAGCCGTTTTGATCGGCGACCTGACCGCAGGCAATGAAGAGGCGGAGAGAAAGATCTGCAGAGCCTGTGACTCTGGCGTAGAGAGTCGATAGGGTGCTGTGCATGAATTTGTAGAGAGCGGAGGATTGTGATTGCCAGTTGTCTTCGAAATGTTCGCGCTTCTTATACTGCCGTGCGAGCTTGAGAGATGCTGTGATGATGGCGGGAGAGGTGTACTTGACGCGCTCGTTGCCGTCTGCAAAGGCCTTGCGCGCAGCTTGGAGGAGCTAAAGTACGTTAGTATCTGCGGAGGCACCAATCTCACTCCACTGACCTTGAACTGCGTATCATTGTCCTCGCCGCGGATGAGATGTACTATCCGCGCGAGCCAACCTTGCTCTTCTATAGTCTCCTCCGTCTCTTGTGCCCGTCTTTGAATCGGTCCTCCAGGGTAGCCTTGGGCTTGTTGTATGCCTTCCCTGATGAGCACCTTGAGGATCTCCAACACACTCTCGAGGTTCTCCACGGAAGCGATACTTGTCTGATTACGCATCAGACTTCTCGCGACCTCGCCTGCTACCGCTCTCCGAGTCGGATATGGCTGTGAATGTAAAAGAGGGATAAAGTTGGGTAACGCTAGCGCAGTAAAGAGGGAAATGTACGTCTTGATGGGCGAAAGAAGAAGGCTGAGGATTTGGCTTTGCGTTGCTTGTGAGTGGAGGTCGGCGCTGTTTTGGTATTCTGCAACTTTTTGGTTTGCAAATGTCAGGACCTGGTCGATGTAGTCCAGTCGTTCGGGGTAGATATTTCTATGATAATTAGCACATGTTAATAAGCACAGTCTCGAACTTACAATGCAAGATTCGCGAGCGACACTAAAAGGCCAACTGTGTCTTGTATTGGCAATCGCTGCATCTTGACCAGTGTCTGCACCTGTTCGTGAAATATCTCAAACAGCTTGACATTGTTCGGTATGCCGCGTTTCTTCTGGATTTCGCCGTCCGTCTCGGTAGGTGCCGTGTCTTCAGAAGGAGGCGCTGCTGAATCTTCAGAGGCTTCTTCGCTGGGCTGTGTCTCCGAGGTTTCTGAAGCGTCTCCATTCTCATGTGCGGGTGCAGCTTCTGGTTCTACCGCCTTGTTCTCCTTTGCTATGCGCATCTGCTCCATGAGTTGTGCTATGGATTCCTCCTCGGTCTTCTTGCGCTGCTCCGGGCTTTCGGATTCGGCTTCTCTTTGCGCATACGAGGAGAGTCGGTCCATGAGGCCCACAACAATGGCCTTGACGTTGACATGGGGGTTTAGGCGTGCGACGGCGGAGAGGAATTGGTCGAGAGTGTGTAGGTGGAATTCGTCGGGGAAAACCTGAGTGACGACTGCTGCTGTTAGCCAAATTCACACATTGCAAGTCTATACATACCCTCCAAAAGATACTCCTGCGCCAAAACATCTCGACATTGTACAATCTGCTCCAACAGCGGATTCAGAATCTTCTTATAATTCTCCAAATCCACCAGCTGGCTCAGACGGACCAGATTGCTGCCTACCAGCAGCTGCAATTCTTGGCGCTCCTTGGTCCGCTGCTCGCGCTCTCTCGAGTGACCCTGGTGTTGCAGCCGCACCCACAACTTATTCATTTCAACAAAGTTGGTCAGAATGAAGCTAATCGAATCCTGCAAATTGCCTTCTGGGCCCTCGCTGTCGCCCGACGGAAGGCAGTCGCGTGCCTGGCCGGCGAGATAGTAGCGTAGAAACAGGCCGCGGATGGGGTGCTGGACCCCGCGACTCATCTCCATCATGTCCTTCATAATCTCCTTGACGGGCGCATCCTCAATTGCCATGTAGACAGTACCCACAGTGACCATGAGATACAGACGGGGAATAATATTTCCAGCATACTGGACGAGCTCGTAAAGGTCGGCGAGGTGGTTCACAGGGTGGTTTTCGCGCAGGTATACGGCCAAGTGGCGGAGGGCATCGAAGACGGCCATGTAAAGCTCATAGTACTGCTTGGGACCTAGGCTGCTAGTGCGCAGCTCCGAAACGAGAGTCGAGCTGAACGGGAGAGGCAGTTAGCACAATATTCCGCTCCTAGAAGCGCCATATCGTCTTGTCTGCTGCCTACCTGCACTTGAGCGCATCCATCAACTTGCCCGGCGTCTCGAGACAGCGCCGCATAAGCAGCGTCTGTTGGCGCACCACGGCGAGGGCATCTTCGAGCAGCCGAGCCTGGTCTTCTACGGGGGGCGGCGACGCCATTGTTTGCAAAGAGAGCGGATAGTCCGGGGTTGTGGAGAGCTGGTCGTGGATACGCACCGCCGCCTTGGGCGTGCCATAACCGTTCGCCAAGCAAGCAGGGATCCAGCCCGTGTAGCTAACCTGCGTCATACTAGCCATCTCACTCACTTCATCACTTCACATACATCAGAGGCTTTATAGTATATCATTACTCTATTGTACATTATATCTCTCCGCGACGCGTCTAGCACCCTATATGTCCAAAACGCCTTCCAATGCATCTCCGTCAGCGCGTCCATTAATATGCGACCATAACTCATGTCCATCGTAATACAGTCGAAGAAAGAAGCAAGCGATCGAGCCAGTCTACCGCCAAACCAGAGAAATCCTTGATGCCATGTCTCCCAACTCAAACTTGAGGCAATGCCGTTGCGATAGCTGCATCATCCCCAAATGACTTGATGGCATAACGCGTGTGCCACATTCCGTCATCGTAGTAGTCGGGTGTTTCCGCAGGCTCAGCGACGGTGATAGTAACGAAGATGGGTTTGGGTGTCGAGTCTGGCGTTGTCATCGTCGAGTTTGAGATGAGGGGTGTTGAAGTTGGCCATGGTGTTGACGGGCTTGGAGTTGATGACGCAGGAGTTTCTGAACTAGGCGGGGGGCAACTCGAGGTAGGTGCAGGTGCCGGTTCAGGCTTGACGACGGTCGTGGTAGTCTCTTGGGTGACTGTCTTTTCCGGACTGACCACTTCCACCGTCTTTGTTGTTGCGACTGTCGAGGTAGCTGCTGGTGGTGCCTGAGTCGGGGCGTCCCCACCAACATTGACTACCGCATAGCTCTTATCCCGCGGAAGAAGGTCATGCGAGTCAAGAGGTCTTCCGATCGCCAAAGCCGAGAAGAGGGCAGCCAGTGTGAGTGCTTGAAGGTTGAGTAGCATCATATCGAAAAGTGGATGACACTGGTGTTGATAGTCGTAGAAGCGAATCGAGCACGGATACGCTGACGATTAACACTGAATATGACCAAGTGTGGAATCTACAATGTAGGTCCCCGTTTATGAGATGCGTAGCGCGGAGTTGCGCAATGTCTTGAGCGCTGCGAAATCATGGTGGTTGGAGGATGGCTGGGTGGCCCGTGCGTCAACATGTGCAGATGCTGCGCGCCTGGAACATCCCATCTCCAACATTTCCTTGGAACCACTTCATAGTATTCTGGTTATAGGCGTGGGATGCGTCTTGGATAAACAGACTTGATTTCGTATTGGTCATGCCAACCACCTTCCAACAGTCTCACCTCCGGGTATCCCTGGCATCTCGTGCGGAGCCTGTTGCCCAAACGTCTGCGGCATTTCCTGTGGATCGCGTGTTGACTGCGCTTCCACTATGTGGCCACCTTGGAACGGATTCGTATGCGGATACGCGTTCATTTCTTGGTACTGTTGGGGCTTGGGTTGGGCCTCGAGTTCCGTCTTGTATGCCAATCCATCAACTTCCACTCCCTGCCTTTGCCATTGCTGTTGTGCAGGTGCAGTTGTCTGTTGACCGATCGGTTGGTATGAAGTGAACTGCGGCTGTTGATTTATCTCTCGTTTCCGCTTCCTGCTATGTCGCCAGAATAGAAAGATGGCCATCGAAGCAAAAAGAACAAAGATGCCAACTCCGATTCCGACGTACATTCCGACGGCCTTTTGCTGCTTTCCGACCATCTTATCTGCGAATAATCAGTATGAACCGTAAACAAGCTGCCAGTAAATCATCGACGAGGAAACAGTCCACAACCCCATCAGACCACATCCAAACCTGCGCAAAACTCGACTTACCAAAAGTCTGCTCCGCATCATCGAACGAAGAGCGACCACCGGAAGACTCCTGAAAAGACTCCGACATGATACCGTCTATTCAAAACTTCAAAATTCAAATTCAACACACTTTCCAGCTCAACAATTCCAAAAAGAAACTGCCCTCAACAAGTAACTAACTGACCTCCCAAACACAGACCTATCTTTATACCCCAAACCTCGCACATCCCAAACCACCCAGGCTGTGTCTTCCCACACCACTACCGTAGTAACCACCCATCTAACCCCATGCGCTCTAGCGCTTGAACATTAGGAACACCAATTACGGCTAGTTCGCTTCATGCCAAGCACACACAGCCGCTTCCAACGGGGCGCCTAATGGGGATAATGTTGATCAATGGCTTGTTTGGGTATCTGTTGTTGGCTTGGCTTGCGACATCACGGTAAGCTCGGGATGGAGAAGCTGTGTTGTTTAGCGCGCTGGATGGCAGGGGAGGATGGTTGGGGAGGGTATGACGGAGGGGGTTCCGGGGGCTTGGGGAGGAGGGGGATGCAGGATCGTACTGGGGGGTTAAATTTGGTGGGATGGCGCGTCGGGGTGTGTTCCGCAGGATAGAGTTTGAGTGGGATTGGTTGATGGAGGAGTGCCGAGTGGCAGTTCTAACATACCGTGCCTTTTTTACGCTCTGCGAAATTTAGTCAAGTCCTTCATCACTATCGTCGTCTGAACCATAGCAGCATCATTTCCTCTTATCTCCTCACCGTACCTGGTTAGTGGCCCCCTGATAACTTCTCATGTATGCACTTGGCACATCTCTCAGTCCTGCGGCGGCGAGTTTGATACTGAGCGCTGGGAAGAAGCGCCTCGTGTTGTTGATATCTAGGTATGAAGTTAGGGAATGCTATGAGAGCGCTGGTGATTAATTCAGCTATGGTACCACTTGATGACTATGGGCTTGGACAGATAGTGAGGTGAAGGAAGTGGGAACGAAGAGACTGAGGATTTTCATGGTGCATTTGTAGATAAATTGACCCAGCGTCGGATAGATCAGCGTTAGCTATGCTGCAGGATTGACTACGAAGCGATGTGTGGAGCGAGTCCTGTCGATAGTGAGTTCGCGATGGTTTCATTAGAAAAAACCCCCCAGAGCATTCAACCTAAGGAGATGCAGATAGAAGACCCCTATCGTATACTTGTATAAGCTCTGTCCATCGATTTGCTAACAATCTACCCGATGGTCTCACACGGTATCGCCCATCGTCCTCACACTACTACCCTCTCAACCACTATTTCCAGCCCCAGTCTTGGATTCCCTTGGAAACTCTTCACTACCTACTACCCACCCATCTACCCGCAAATCCGGGATACATTCTTGACATCGAGCTAAACAAAGACAACCTTTCTATCAATCATCCAAAACGTTTGGATGGCTGGAGTCGTAGGCAGAACTGCTCCTTGAGAGATGAGTGCACAGATGTCAATGAGCAAGCTGAGCGAGCTCAGCCAATTGGCTTGCTCAGCCAATTGAGCGGAGGCCAGCAGCTCGCTCGGCTTGATGGGCTCAGTCCCGATTAGGAAAGTTATATAGAAACCTTGGTGTTGAGTTTCTCAGCTAATATCCCACTTATGTACACCGTATTTCGCGTCCATCTCCTCATCGCTGATAGCCTCCTTTACAGGCACCTCACCACTGCCAAATCCAGCTCTTATCCATCGTCGATCGCACTGTATTGCTGCTAGAAGTTGCGGAGAAATGCTGCGCCGACGGGGCTCGAGGAGGTCACCCAGCTCGCTGAATAAGCGCTCACACTCACAGCTTGAGCCTGGGATTGATAGCATGTCGATAGCAAATTTGCTAAGGCTGGGGTAGCGATCGCGGAGTCCTACCCAGTATTTTATAGGGTCGACGCCCTCGCTAGCGATCGGTTCGCTGCGTTTCCAAGCCTCATATTCATCCTCCTCGTTCTCCGTAAGCCCTGCAGGCTCAATAAAGCTGTTGATAGCGTCGTCTATATCATTGTGCCTGACTTTGGGGCGTAAGCGCGGCTTCGGTAAGCTTTTGTACTCCGCCCACAAATGTTGAAACTTGCGGTTGCTGCTCTCTAGCCAATCAGGCTTATCCGCCCACGCTGCGTCAAGGTAGCTTTTGTAGCGAGGATGAAGGATTGTAGCAGCATAGTAAGCTGGCGAGAGGTCGAGCTTGTTGTAGTACTCGCGGGCTTTAACTAGGGCAGCGCGGAGGTTGATAGCAAGGTGGTCTTCGGGTGACTCTGTATGCTCATCGTGAATGACGTCTTCATAGCTTTGCAAGCGGTCCTCATAGACTCCAAGTAAGTATTCAAATACTGGAATAACCTCAGCGATTGCTCCAAAAGCACCGCTTTTGCCGCGGCCTTCAAGCCGTTTTGTAGCTTGTTTCAGTGGCCTGAGCACATCAATATACTCAGCAATCACCTGCCAGTCATGGGCATTGATCCCATCAGACCTCATCCAATCCGGCGCTGCAGGCAGCTTGTTGTTACGACTTCGGGCGTACGCGTCTTCAGTTTCAATCTTCTGAATATGGTAGTTGGCGTACCCATTAACCGCTAATTGCAACTCAACAGCGCGCTCAAAACACGAAACGTAAGAGTTCCAGCGAGTAACAACTGGCTTGACGGGCTCCTTGATTTTGTGCTGTTCTGTTGGCGCGTTGACAGGCTGGTCCCTAATAGCGAGCTTCTGATACTTCTCAAAAAGAGCGTACTGTTGTGGTGTTTTGATGTAGTTGATAACCGCGAGAAGCACTCCTAATGGTCCATCGCCTCGCCAAGTAGCCATGTTCTCAGCTTCGTTCACGCGCTCAGTCTCCTCGTTGTCGTAGGACTCTTTCTCCTCACCCCAGAGTAGCATCTGGCCAATGAGATTAAGCGTATGAGGACCGCAGCGAAGGCGACGCTCGGTAGCGCTGAAGCCCATCTGCAAGGCGAGAGTGTTGATCGTGGTGTTGTTGTTATGTGCGTTGTCGAGGACGAAGTAACCGAGCTTGCCCACAGTGATTTCGAACTGCTTGAATATTGCCATCACGACCTCAGCCATGGCCTCGCCGGTGTGGGCACCTGTCAGTTGTGGGAGCGCAATAGGCAAGTCCCTGAGCTCGCCAGAGCTATCAACGTAGTGGGCGACGATACCTAAGTAACCGCGCTTGCCACCTTTTGTCGTCCATCCGTCAAAGCTTATATGGACTTTGCTCATTGATTCTGAAAGGCTTGCGACAACCTTTGGTAACAGGTAGTTGTACAGGCGTATAACGTATCGTGAGACGCTGTTATGAGATGCCCACAGGGCTCGTTCTGCCTCTACGCTAGCTAATTGTATCATATTGCGAAAAGACGATGATTCGAATTGTGAGAGTGGGAGGTTGTTTTCGACGAGCCAGGTGACGGCCGCAAGCCTAAACTCTTGTATATTGAAGTTGGTAAGCTCGTTGGCAACAGCCTGAGAGCAGCCCTTCTGAAGGGCGCGTTCGAGGAGAGTTTCTTTCCGAGGAGCGACGGTAGTGCGCTTACTTGGAGGCTTCAAGCCATGACCTTTCTTGTCTTCTCCGAGATGACGTGCTGGCGCTGATGGAGACTGCGAGACGTCATGTATGCCACGGCCAACAGTAGTGAACTTGTGCTTATAGCAATAGTGGCAGATCCACGTGACTTTTGCGACGTTGCTGCGCAAGGCGATGCGATAGCCATGGCTG